TGCCCCATGTTCAATTGCCATGGTACTTGTCACAGTGTGCTGTTGTGTGATTTATATAAGCCTTCATTACTGTTTTTGACACATTCTTACTCTCCTTGCTACAGTAATTCTCACTTCCTGTATTGTCAGAGTTGGCATTGGATCCTGTAAATTTAAAATTGGGTAAAAGTAATCTCAATCAATAGCTATTCCTGTCATCCTTGGTACAATTCAGTTTAATCTGTACATATTACAGATTAATGTCATTGTATTCCTTCAGGGCTCATTTTGTACATGGAGAGAAGAAGCAGGCTAAATTTATATAAATTTCTTAATTGACAAAACTCACTGAAATAAAGCGTTAAAGGATTTTTCTCTATTTCAGTAGGAATAGCCTGCAAGAAGTAGAATAATACCTTTGATTCATAGAACAACTGCATTTCTGCCACATGTATGGTAGGCGGAAGAGCACAGAGCAGGTTGCAGAGCTAGCAGTTAACTTCTGGTGTGTTGCCTTTTCTCTTTCCCAAGAGTGGAAAGAGCTTCTGTATTCTGAGAAGTGGGAGGGAGGGAGGGAACTGTGTGGTGCAAACCTGTTGCTCATCTGAAGGCATAATGGTTGAAGAAGTGAGGGGTAAATGTGAACTTTTCAGAGGTCAGGCAGTGTCATTCTTAGGTACTGAATTCTTACTGTGAAATTATTAATACATTGTGAAAAATATTAATGTGTTACCATGCTTATTTGTAATTCCATTGGGTTTAGAGAGACCCAGCACAAAACTTGCTGGCACTAGGCCAAACCAAATTTGGCTGCATTACTGTACTTGTATATTGTCTAAAATACAATTCTTATACAGCTGGTGAGCATGTTGGGTTATAACCATATTTTAAATAATATCTGGAGGAAAGCAAAGTCTTTTGAAAACTCTGTATCTTAGAGTTTAAAAAAAAAAAGTGAACAAAAATTTCCACTAAACTGAAATTGCATGTGATGTTAATTGAAAATGAGTGGGAATTTTGACCTTTCTCTTCCTCCAAAGGGAAAAGAGGAAGAGAAACAAATTTTGCATTTGATAAATTAATTTATCATGAGAATGTTTTTGTTTTGGTTTACAGATCAGCCGTGGATTTGGAATATTCCTTACACTGATGCCCCTGATACACATGGAAATATGTGGGTTCCATCATGAATGTTTTCAGTACTCTGTGATTTTCCACTTGCTAACACTGAGCCTGCCGTGCTACTTGCAAAAACTCGTTGTTTCTGTTCTGTACGCTATAATGTCCGCTATAAAGGCTAATTTGTAGCTGAAACATTAAAATGTTAATAAGGGAGACATTCTTGGAGAATCTATAACCATACTGTTACAAGGGAACCTGCTTTTCTGAATACCTTTTTATATGCTTTTTGTTTACTGTGGTTCCTAATATGGTTTTCAAGATGAGAATTGTTCTCCGAGATTCTCTCTGAATTTATAACTGTAATTAATTTTAAAAATACAGTTCTGCGAGACTGTCAGTTGACTCCAGTAGCTGGAATAAAAGTTAAATGTAAAACTCAAATAAAAATAAAGGCAATCTTGTTAATATATCCTTTGTTCTGACTTCTAAATGTGTACATTTCAGATTGGGTTGGAGCTTGTATCTTGCAAGTGTGTATCAAGTGTTTTATAAAATCAACAGCATCCCATTAATGGAACACATTGCTTTTATCAAAAATAATGTGGCCAGCAGGACCAGGGCAGTGATTGTTCCCCCATACTCAGCACTAGTGAGGCCACACCTCGAGTGCTGTCTCCTCGAGTTCTGGGCCCCTCGTGACAAGAAAGACATTGAGGGGCTAGAACATGTCCAGAGAAGGGCAGTGTAGCTGGTGGAGGGTCTGGAACACAAGTCTTCTGAGGGGTAACTGAAGGAGCTGGGAATGTTTAGCAGGAAGAAAAGGAGTCTCAGTGGAGATCTTACTGCTCTCTACAATTACCTGCAAGGAGGTTGTAGCCAGGTGGGAATCAGCCTCTTCTCCCAGGAAACAAGCAAGAGGACAAGATGAACCTTAAGTTTCACTAGGGAAGGTTTAGATTGGATATTAGGGAAAAATTCTTCACTGAGAGTTATCAGGCATTGGAACAGACTGCCCAGGGAAGTGGTGGAGTCACCATCCTTGGAGGTATTAAAAGATGTGTGGATGTACCACTTAGTGATATGGGTTATGGCTTATGTTGGACTAAGCAGAATTGGTAAATATATTGATTTTTCTTTCCTATTATTTTACAATTCTGCTAAGCCTCACCATCACCACTCTATTGTTACTAAATGGCTGTGCACACAGACACTAGGGAGCTGTGTGCTTGTGGTGCTGAAGGGTAGGGAAAACAGCATGTTTTGTGATAGTGATGCACAAGTGACTGTACTGAGAGTAATGGTATTGCACTCGGGGCTCAAGCTCACAAAATATTCACTTTGATTTGAAGTTAATTTAAATGTCAGCAACATGTTTAACCACTTTTTTTTTAACCTGAAACTAAAAGTTAATTTTCTTTTGCTTATGCCAGTGAACATTTCTTTATTCCACCACGCTGAAATGTTATGGATGGCTGACTGATTACACTGTTTGTGCTCTCCACACACTTCAGTTTTTCCAGCTATTTACCCAAGAGCAGTGGGAATAGTGACCTGTTTTACAAGAAAGTATTCTTTAGAATAAGCCATATTCTCATTTTCTTTTTCAATATTCCAGTCAATATCAACTTGCTGCTGTTCTGTCCTTTAACAGAGAGCACTTCCTTTAAAAGCCAGCTTCTCAAGAGATGATTAAGTCATTGCCAAGATCAAAGTTGACAAATGAAGGGAATTTGCAATTTTTGATGATCAATGACAGTAGTACACATCTTTCAAAATTGTGCCAGATGATCTTACCTTTATTCATGCAATAACTATGTCTGTGTCCAAGACAAACACAAAAATGACTATTCCCCACTAACAAAATAATATGTAAATAAGGAGAAACTCAATTACCTTGAATAATTTGCCTTGGATATTCCTTTGAATACTGTTATTGTTATTCATATTCCTTTGGACAAACACATTGATGTCATGGTTGCAAGCAGCTAAAGGTTCTTTTTCCCACTGTGCTAATCCAAGCCACCCTTGAGCATGTTTGATGGATGGAGCCAGTGGTGTGGACAGAGGGTGCTCACTCAATTCTGCTGCCTTTGCTGGTTAACAGTGCACTGATTGAGTTCTGTCTTCCTTCTGACTGGCAAAGCAGGGAAGTATAGGTTGGGTTTTGTTGGGGTTTTTTTCCTCAAATAGGAACTGCCAATAATTTTAAAGATACACCAGCATTTTATTATGGAAGCACGTGGTTACCTTTAGCACTTGGCACAATCTAGTTAGTTTGGCTGGCATCGCATCTTCCTATTTTTGGCTATTTAATGTCTTCCAGTCCTGCAGTCTTGTTGCTAATTTTAATTTCCACACTAAAGTCTATGCTAAAGACTAATTAAGAGGGAATAAAAACCTGCAGCATGATGTATCATCTATGAATAACAACAAATAGGAAAAAATTAAACATGACACTCATTCCTGGCTGCTGGTTTACCGTGCAACATAAGAAAAGGACTTACTTTTCCCTATGCCTACTGATCTAGCAGTTGTTGCCACACAGGTGCTGTTCCTCTCAAACACTGGCATTGGAATTGCCCACAGTGCACCCTTAGGGCTCAGACCAATACTCAAATATACCTCAGGCTGTGAGACAATCAGGAGTGTGCAACTATTTGCCATTAAGGGAGATTTCTAAGATCTTAGTGTTCATTCCCATTGCATTTTGACTGCAACAGAATTATTCGAAAATTGGAGGGTGGAGGGAAGGGAAATTGATGTTGTACTTCATTAACTTGCTTTCTAAAAAAAATATATGTAGGTGTTCCGTCCCTGGAAAGAATGTGCTTGTATACTGTTATGTTTAGCAGAGCTGAACTCCAGCGCCCAATTATTTAAAAGTAGAAATCAGCACTGTAGCAACTACCAGATATTGCTGAGTTTAGCTTTTTCTTCTTATAGTGAGAATGATATTTCCAGAAGATGTAGATCGAGAGCTCTGTTCTTTGAACCTGCGAATAACGCATTTTAAAACCACATTGCAGCTGGAGAGGTTGCTTCTGTCTTCCCTAAACAGTTTCCCTTCGACTACCATGGGCTGGAGGACAGAGATGTAACACCTTGTCGGGAAGGCAGTGGGTAACCAGACCTGTGGAGAGGAGGTGCCCTCTTTTAGCAAAGGCGCTAATTTGTATGGCTTTGATGGGGGGCATATCTGACTGACGGGTTTCATGTCCGGTCTCTAAGAAGCCCCGTTGCCTCGGCCCCACAGCCCAGGGCCGGGTACCCGAGGGCGGGAAGGGGGGCAGCCCTCCCTGCCCGCAGCCGGCACTGACCTTCGGGGGCGGCGGCCGCGCCTCTGCGGGGGGAGCCGTCCTCGGGAGCCCGGCCCGGCCCGCGGCTCCCCCAAGGCCATGGTGCGGGCGGCCCGGGGCACCGGGCGGCGGAGCCCCGCGGCGAAGGAGAAGGGCGGGGGGCGAGCTGCCGCCGGTCCCGCCTCGCCCCCCCGGCAGGCAGGAGGCGCCTGGCGGTGCCTGTCCCTGCGCCCCGCTCCGACGTGCTCGGGGCGGGGGCAGGAAAGGGATATGAAACTGGCGTGGACGGGAGCCCCGCGCGGCGGGCGCTGAGGGGCTCCGCGAGACGAGAAGGGACGGGACGGGACGAGCGGTTCCCTCTCCCGCAGGATGCTCGGCAGCGCGAAGCGCGTCCGCCGCGGGGCCGTGCCGGGGCCGCGCCCTGCCCCCGGGGCGAAGGTGCCGGCCGGCTCCCGGGAGCGCCGCTCGCCGCCGCCGGGCCCCGCGGCGCCCTGAGCCCCGCGGCCCCGCGCACGGCTGGCGGGCGGCGCCGTGATGCCCGGCAGCGGCGGCAGGGCCCCGACGTAGCTTGGCGGCGCGGCAGCCCGGTCCCGCGGGCGGAGGATGGCGTGTCGCGGCGCCTGCTGCTGCTCCAGCGCGGGTCGCCTCAACGCGGACAACGCGCGGTTCCTCCTGCTGGCGGTGCTGATCGTGCTCTACATGCTGTGCGGCGCCGCCGTCTTCTCGGCCATCGAGCTGCCCACGGAACGGGAGGCTAAGGAGCGCTGGGAGGAGCGCCTGGAGAACTTCACCCGGCGCCACAACCTCAGCCGTGCCGAGCTCCGGCACTTCCTTCGGGAATACGAGGAGGCGAGCGTGGCCGGCATCCGCGTCGATGACATCCGGCCCCGATGGGATTTCACCGGCGCTTTCTACTTCGTGGGCACCGTCGTTTCTACTATCGGTGAGCGGCGGGACGGGCGGGCACCGAGGCGGCGGTGGGGCCGGGGCTGGGTGCCCAGGGATGCGCTGCTCCTCTCCTCCTCGCGGGCTCACAGCGGGCTCGTGTCGGTGCCCGGGCATGGTCCTGTCTCTTCGCTGCTCCTTTTTTTGCCTTATTCCTGTCGAAGAGCCGCTGCCGCGGGCGCGTCTCTGGCGGGAAGAGCTCAGCCCAGGGAGCGCCCCGGGGAGCCCGGCCAGCGCTGGGGCCGAGCTCCGGGCTGGCAGGGCAGGACACAAGGATGCTCCTCGCGGGTGTCATTTGCCTGCGCGGATCAGCTGGTCCTCGGGATACGGTGGTAGACTTCGTGAGAGACCAGTCGCACCCAAAGCCGAAAGCTCTAAACAATCCTGCATGTCTTGAAATTCTGGGAAATGTAGAAAATCTTAGATCTGACGGTTTCGTAGGCTGTAAGCTCAGAAGGGCCCTTTCTGAGGCTCGTGTGGTCTTAACAAGAACCATTAAATAGATTTTATGGTGTCCAGCTGCAAAGTGTACGACTTGAAAAGACTGGGTTTCAAACCACTCGGCTTTTTGCTCCTTCAAGCTTTTCAAGGCAGAACCATCAAGTCGGTGTGCACAGCTTATTTCACTTGTGAATAAACCCAAGTTTATTCGGGCTGAAGGAGCCTTCAGGGGAAGGTGATACTGAATAGAAATTCCGAGCAGTCTGACAGGTGTACATTAAGATGAAAAGGGATAGCACCAGGAACTGACATAGCACCCCGGGGAGCCCATGGGTGTCAACAGAAATGCTTCATTTAGGCATCTGCAGACAGCTAAAAGCCTCGGAGGAAGGGAGCCTTCTTTAGTTAAAGACAGGCAATCTATATGCAATTATCACTGTGGCAAAAGAGTCACTAAATCTTATTAATGGTACAGCCAATTCACATCAGTCTCTCTCCATGAATGAAATGTACATTGAGGTATGGTTATTTAATTCTTCAGGAAATGTCCATTAACAGGTTTTGGTTTTTTCTCTGAAAAGGAGTGGGCTCCTCCAAAAGCTCACTTTGGTTTCAATCAACCCTTTGTCACATAACGAAGTGTCCCTTTTGCCCAGAAATCAAGTGGTATAAGTAATATATCAGGATGTGAGAGATCAAAGCGACTTCTTTCTCAGGGAAGACTTGAAGCAATTCCTGTGTCTCATCCCAGTGCCCTGCCCACCAGTGACTCTCAGTATTTTCTGTTGACACTATTCCACTTTGCATAGCCTCATAAAATATGTGCAGACCAGAAAATAAAACAAAATCTAAGTCCCAATTTGCACTTCAGTGAATGTTTATGTGTTTTTTACAGGCATAAAGCATTAGGTAGGCTCTGGGTGTTCAGCAACATTAGACTGTAGGGTCACAGTCATCATCAGGTGCTCTGATGTCCAAAGACTTCTGTGGTATCCTGGCACAGTAGTGCCTCCGAAAAGTAGGGAGCTGGAATAAAATATATCTTGTTAAAAACACATAACATGAAGCAACTTCTCAAACTGACTTATGCTATTCCTGCCCTTTCACAGGCCGCTGGAAGTTGGAGGGGATTTCTGGAGATTGTCTGGTCCAACCCCCACACTCCAAGCAGGGTCAGTGATAGCCAGCTGCTCAGGGCTGCATCCTGTTGGAGTTTGGGTATCTCTCTTGGTAGAGACTCTACAATCTCTCAGGACAATTTGTACCAGGGTTTGACCAACCTCACATTAAAAGAGGGTCTTTTTCTCCTATTCAAATGGTATTTCATGTATTTCAATTTGCACATGTTGCTTCTTGTCTTCTTTGTGTGAACTGTGTGAGCACTGAGGCAAAGGAGGAAATTATATCATCTTCACACAATGAGATATATTTTCTGGAGAAATTGTCAAAATTTGCATCCTTCCTCTCTGCACAAAGTCACAGCAAATTGGGCTGGAAGTGTAGTCTTGGTAAAGGTTGAGAAAAGAAATTTATCAACTGACACATTACCTGAGGCCCAAAAGGTAAAATTGCATGGAGCGAAGGCTGGGATTTTTACCATACACAGCAATGAGCAATCACATGGTGTATTGTACAGAAGGGATAGAAGGAGTCATAGCATCTTCTTTAAGCAGCCTTTTAGAAAGGCTTGCTCATGGAAGTGTCATTTGCTGATGGGAAAGTCTGTATAGAGTGAAACAATTGCAGCGTCCATGTTACTGCCATGTCATGACTGAAAGGAGTTCTGAAAAGGGGCAGAAAGTGCCTGTTTCCTCATTTTCACCTGTCAGTACAGTTCCTGCTAAGTGGAGTTACAGCTCTATTAAAGAAAAGTGTGTGTGATAATGCCCAGCAAACCACCAAGGTCGTTGAACCCAGAGGGCTGGACTACTGCTTGTAATCTTGAGATCACCCCGTCTTTCCTGTGTATAGACTGAGCAGAGTGGAACTCCACCTGAGGCCATGGCCAAGCTTACTCCTGGGGTCACAGAGACCAAATGATCTGCCCTTACCTAAGAGTGCCATGCCTGAAGTATTTAGAATCATAGAATTGTAGAATGTCCTGTGCTGAAATGGATCCACAAGGATCGAGTCCAAGTCCTGACACTGCACAGGACAGCAGCAAGAGTTACACCATGTGCCTTAGAGCAGTGTCCACACACGTATTGAACTCTGTCAGCCTTGGTGCTGTGACCATTTCCCTGGGGAGCCTGCTCTGATGTCCAACCACCCTCTCGGTGAAGAACCTTTTCTCTAATATCCAACCTAAATCGCCCCTGACACAACTTCAGGCCATTCCCTCAGTCCTGTCACTGGTCATGAGGGTGAAAAGATCAGTGCCTGACCCTCCCCTTTCCTTCACAAGGAAGTTGTAGACTGCAGTGGGGTGTCCCCTCAGTCTCCTTCAGGCTGAACAGACCAAGTGACCTCAGCTGCTCCCCATATAGTTCCCCTCGAGGCCCTTCATGATATTCTTGGTCCTCCTTTAGATGGTCTCTAACAGCTTAATGTATTTTTTATACTGTGGTGCCCAAAACTGCACACATGCTACAAACAGCTCTAATAATTCAAAATGGTCAATGAGCCATTTAGCCATAAGCAGAGCAAGAAAGGCATCTCTAGAGCAAAAGGCTTTTTAGGGAAACCGCAAGTAAACTGAGGCTATTTACTTGCCTTACAGAGACTACCATGTAGTTGTCAACTCACTGAAGTTGTAATTGCCACCAGCCTTGGATTGTGGCTGTTAATAGACTAGAACATTGCCCACCTTTGAAAGTGGATGCTCAGGTGGATAGTTTACTCTAACTTTACCAAAAGCTTTCTATAATATATGACAGATCTGTATAAAGAAAAGATGTAGAGAAAATGTGCAAAGGAGAACACTGGTTATAATGACAGGATTGTCACCAGTCTCTGCAATATGCAGAACAATGTAGAAAACTTAAAGCAAATCATGTTATAGAAAGGAAGTATAAAATTAAAGCAACCTGGAAATCTTGCTTTTACAAGCAAAATCTAAAAAAAGTTATACATGTGATTCCCTAGCATATTCTCTCTTGGATACTAGTTAAAATAAAAGTCAAGCTATATGGTTGTAATCCACAAGGCTGGGGAAAAGGCCAGATCTGGTTTCACATGTAATTTTTCTTGCTTCTCTTAGTGCCAGACATCCAGTTTTATAGAAGATATCTAAAATAAATCACATGAATTTATATGTCCTAATGTGCCTGTTCTCTGACTAGAATAAAATAGCTGATGTGTCAAGTGCAAAGGTTCATACTTCTACTGTTAATGTTGAAATTTTGGTGAAATAAATCCCACCCTGTCAATCTACAGATGGACACCCAGGCAGCAGCAGACCCAGATCAGCACGCCACTGTTGGCACTGTTGACTGCAACTTCTCTGCCACAGGTTCTCTCTCTCTCATTTAAATGAAATTAGTAAGTAGTTTAAAGCACTCAAACCCTGTAAAGGAAATCCTGTTATCACTTATGCTGTCTTAAGAAGATCTGGATTAGGTTTTGTGTGAGGAGTTGGCATTTTCCAGGGCGTGACTATAATAATATGGGGATTTCTCTGTTTCCAGGTGAATATGCTGGGAGCTGAGCACAAATTCTCTAGCAAGGTTCTGAAACATATAAGAAACTTCAGAAAAAACTTTCATGGATTTGACTTTTACCTAGTAAGTGTAGAAGGCAACTTCTATGACCATGGAGTGGCAGAATTCATGATTCTTTAGAGGGAAAGGAAGATGTACAGAAAACCAGGGTGTTTTGAAAGCAAAACTTTAAATACCGATCTGCAGTTTGGAATCTCAGAGGAATCAAAATTAAAGAAAAATTATTTAAGGGGGACTGTCAGAGTCTTGGACAAAAGATATGAATGATACTGGCTCAAGGGATCCAAATGTGAAATATAGGAGGACAGGACTATAGTAAAAGACAAATGTATAAATTTTAAGTTAATTTCTGTCACAAGAAGGAGGCATACAGAAAATGGATAGAAAATTAGATTAGTGAAGACAAATAAAAGGAATAAAATGATAAATAAAAGGAACAGATACAAAATTATGCTATTAGCAAGAGGTGTCATGGGTGATGTGAACTTCTTCATCAGCACAATAGTGATGAGAAAGACTACGAAAAACATTGGTCTGCTGTATAGAAAAGAGGAAGAGCTCTCAACAAATGATTCCAAGAAGGCTGAAATGTGTAATGGTTTCTTCTGTATCAGTCTTCTGAAAAGGTCAACTCTGAACTGTTGTGTGTTACAAGTAACACTTGTAAGAAAGGGGAAAGTAAAAGAACAGGTTAGAATCCCTAAATCTGTCAGATCTTTTAGAGTCATTTAAGCTAACTCAACTGCAGTCTAGAATATTCAAATAAATTACTAAAGCACTTAATAATGAGCACTTTGACAACTCATAGCAGGGTTTTAAATTCCAGGCAAGTTAAAATGACAAACATTTTGCCAGTCTTTACAAAAGGATAATGACAGGAAGAAATAAAAAAGAATGG